GTTTCGGATGATGGCTTCGACGGCCAAAGATGGGAGTGCTATAACTGGTTGCGGACCGAGGAATGCCTAGTCTGAGCCAATACCGGCCAAATGGTCAGATACCTTTTTGCCAGGTACTCCCGAGTGACCTGGCACCCAGAGTAAAGCAAGCGTGTTATGTTTGCCAAAATAATTTAGTTTAGACTTACATTGCCGAATTAGTTCGGAAGTAGTTAATGCCTTAAGCGCAGCTTGGCTGTCACTGCAGAGGCGTAAGCTCCTTCCCCTTCACCTATTTTCCATCACATAGTCCACTCAGCCTCAGGGAGTGCATCATTATAGAATATCTTCAACAAAGGTAATGGTGTCGTACTATCCTGTGGCAATTTCCGCTTCACCCCACTCAATGTTATACCAACATATTTTCTTTTTAGTCTGTAGGTGGTCTTTTAGGCTTCCCCACGCTATTTTTTGAGAGTTTGCTCCACTATACCATTGACGCATAGCTGATTATGGGTCTGGTCATATTTAGGTCCTGTTTACATTGCCAATATGCTGCCAATGCTTTGGAGGTCTTGTGTTCCACGTGAGATTTCCACGATAGTTTTGTATCCAGAATTACTCCTAGATACTTTACTTCGGGATAAGTCTGAATTGTGACTCCTTTAAGTGTGAGGGGGAATGAGACCATCCAACCTTCTTCTTCTAGTAAAGAGCACAACACTAAAGAGCAGATTAGCTAAAGCAAACACTGTCGCAACGACTGTTGCTTGACCTATTCTGCTCATTTTCCAGAGTATACATATATTTATTGACTTAAAAATTAAGCGAACTCTGCTAGAATGACAGTTCCTCACCATACTTAACTATGGTGCCACTGTGTACAAAGGCATAGGGAAAATTAATACACACAGCAGAAACAGGGACTTTGGGGCTTTCGAGAGAACTATACTGTGCAAGGTATATCACCCCATTCGCGTGGGCGACGAGTACCGAAGAAGATGGAATGACTAACTGTACGAGCTTTTCAAAGACATAGACATAGTTAAGCGCATAAAAATACAACGATTGCGCTGGATTGGACATGTTGTACGCATGGATGATGACGCTCCGTTGCAAAGATCCTTCGACTCCACACCCATGGGTGGACAACGAAAGCAAAGGCGCCCACGAACATAATCGAAGGAACTGCCCGCACTTGGGATGAACAACTGGCGCAAATCCGCAAAGGAGAGAGGCAACTGCCGATGTTGATAGTGGCAAATAAGAAGCATAAAAGTTTTTTAAGCGCGGAAATGAGCTCGAAAGCTTACTTTTTACTTTTCCAAGAATTTATTACAATTAGCTAAATGGAACAAAGGAATTTTCTTCATTTGTGAAGCAGAAGACATTTACAATAAAACAGTGGACCGTTTTCGCCCTCTATTACCCATTTTTCTAGCGTCAGGGACTCTTTCTGGGCACTCGCACAATCCGGCAAGATTGCGTGAAGAAAATCTTATAATTTCATGTTTCACGAGCCGAAATGTGAATGGCTACCTGCCCAAACAGTCGTCCCGTTTTGCACGCCATATTCGCTACAACCAGAGATCTACTCAATTAATTACTAAAATCACCCAAAAAGATTTTTTTGATAATAACTAGCCTTTCGGCAGCCAGTTCGAAAAGGCTATATCCCAGAAAACTTTTCAAAAACGCCCTATTTTAGAATTTTATTGAAAAGCCCCTATCTCAGAATTTGGTTCAAAAACGCCCTATCTCAAACAAAAATACAGTGAAAATGTGCTAAAATAGGGCGTTTTGGAAACGAATTCTGACATAGGCCGTTTTTCAACCAAATTCTGAAATATGTAAACTGAAGAAAACTTAAAAAGCTCTCAACTCTACGCTCTCATTTCAAACCCTTCTTTATGGGCTAAAACAAAATATTGATTTTGCAAAGCTTTAAGAAATAAGCGCTTTCGTAAAACTTTAAGATTTATGTAAATGGTTTTGCTTTACTTTGTACTACTTCACTCAAGAGAATACTGCTAAATACAAGTTAAATAATTTGGCTTAAATATATTATATATATGTATATATTAGGGCGATTCTTTTGCGACTATTATTTTTTTTCACTCCTATCTCAAAATTTTGTGGTAAACACATAAAAAAGCTCCCTAAAAATGTGAGACCTTAATATTAACATTAAGTACTCGCAAGGCGTGCAAAGATTTCCCATATAAAATACACATAAACTTTGAGTATATGGTATAATCTTGGGCAATAATGGGGTTTTTTCAGAATTGAATGATCTACAAAAGTGTCCATTGCGGTGTAATCCCAACTCCCACCAGCGAGGTAGTACGGGTCACTGAACGCAATTTCTTCACGAAATTCTTGCTTTTTTGCCCCTATCTCGAAAATAACAACAGCTAAAGAAAAAATATAAATTACAAACTTGTAGGACTTTCAATTTTCTACAAAAAAGTTTCAGAACACAAAATCGCTAGCATCGCTATTTCTTGAGATATTGGACTTTGAAGTTGATCAACAATTTTTACAATTTAGCTTAATAGTCCATGAAAATTCCACGCTACCTCACATTTTCAGGGAGCTTTTTTTTATGTGTTTCCACAAAATTTTGAGATAAGGGTAAAAAAAAAAACAATAGTCGCAAAAAAATCGCCCTAATATATATATACTCTTTAAAACATGTAACCGCCTCAACACGCAATAATGCCTGATGGAATTATCCGATATTTATTTTTGTAGCAAGCATGAAAGTTGCATGCATTTTTGATGACTTGTTTCAACTTTGACATTAGTAAGCACACGACGCCAGACTACATTCAGGATATTTATTGTAATAAATATTTGGATTTAAGATAAACACGAACGGCAAAGCGTAAAACGAATGGTCACCTGCCATTAGCCATTGGCCCACAGCCAATGCGAAGTTAGTTGGTTGAACCTTCATATGGAATAAAACATGAGTTTTCATTGCGCATTTATCGCAAATTACAATCTGACATTGAACTAACCCTTCATAAATACATACAAACATATACGAGTATAGTTAGTTAGAGAGTAATTCAAATTGCGTTGATTTAAATATTTATGCTTGCAAACAAAATACATATTCGTATACATATGTATGTATACATATTTATCCACCTACGTCCAACAAATCAATTTATACAGACCGCTCTTAACAAATCTATATTCGTTATACTGCGTCATATGTTTCAATATCATTAATGGATTATTTTGTAAATCCATTCGTTTTCAGATATCCGGTCTCGGTATTTTGATAGCAGGCGCCGTTGTACTTGCGG